TTTCGAAGAAGAAGGAGGAATATCCTGCGTAGGGAAAGTATCGTTCATTGTCGAAATATCTCGATGAAAAGGACAGAGCACCACCACATTTCACTAAACTCTCACTAGAACTCGCAACGCGACTCAACACTAACCTCGCTATCATGTTTGCGCGGTTACACATCCAATATGGCGCCGGGAACTGTAAAAAGGGCTATTGAGCTAACAAGCCAACTGGGAGCAGGCCGTTAAGTTGATTCGTAATAAACCCGTGATGATAAATCAGATACGATGAATATATGAAGTTCATATATTTTGAACAAACTAAGTTCATATTATTTTGTGTCACTGAAAACTGCTTAGATTAGTAATGCAGTAAACACTAAGTGTGTAAATAGAGTAAGAAAGATGGGCTTCATTTAATTTTTATTCAAGAGTTGCATGAGATGAAAACTTGCAAGGTGAATGTGGCTGCCATTTCTATGAACTTTAATTTGAGTGTTCAGGAACTGTTTTTTTAAGATGGCCATATTACAAAAAAAAAATACTTGAATGTTTTGAAATAAGTTCTGAATCAGTATCAAGGATTATGACCATGCAAAGGTATATTAATTTCAATGATTTATCTAAGGTTTACAAAAATAATGAATCGTTATATGCCTTCAAGGATCTAACTTCCAAACTTTAACAAAACTCTACATAACAAACACACCTGGCTCTCTTTATTCTCCACTTCAGGACCAAGACTCTGAACAGAGGTATCATCTGGTGATGATAAGTGAATATCTAAGTTCCCTTTCTCAGAAAAGAACCTCTGTTCCTGGCTTAAATCCTGCTCTGAGTCAAAGACATCTTTCTCCACACCTCCATCAGTCTTATTTGGTTCCATAGATGACATTTCCCATCTTGAAGGTTCATTCTTTTCAGCATCTTCATTCTCACAAAGATCAAACCAACTAGCCAAACCTTCCATAGTTGACAGTGGAATATAAAAGCCTACATTAGTTTCCTTCTCAATGATATTGTACAGATTCTGAGTTGGTTTTAATAATGGAACAGGTTCTTGAAATTGTCCTGCTTTAGAAAAAACCTGGTCCTAAATCAAACTTTCTGAGAAATTTGGGGATGGCTTAAGGAATGGAATGAATTGTTTTGGGAGGACAAACATGGAAAACATAGGTTTGAAAGTGAACTGATCAAAAATACACTACTTGTCTCAACTACTGTATTTCTTTGATTAAATGCCACAGCTCTTACTACCAGTATTTCTTCAGATATTAATTATGGTTTCTGTTAAATCAAAACAGAATTTGAAACCAAACCTCTACTAATGACACCAAAAAGGTATCAATTTGACCTAAATATAAAACTGATTATGAACACATAATTCCAAGTCATAAACTGTAGTCCCATGCCATTCTTCCTTTTCTGTGTAACTGAATCTTTATATGAATATCTAAAATTTGAGGGGTTTAAGGCCTACAATGGAAATTCATAAAAACAGAGAATTTTTTTATCCGTGAACAAATTATTCTTTCAACATGCAAGGGGAGTTAAAAAAAAAAGTTGTATTCTCATTTGCATCCGTCAGAATATTTACCCGATTCTTTCCATTCATGACCTGAGTGTATTTCTTCGTCACTGCACTGTGGGGAGGCCATGTTTAATTTGCTGTCTCCTATACCAATCCACAAAGGGTTGCTTAAGGGAGATCGAGCTGCTTTTTGAGTAACTGGTCCAGTGTGTGTTGTTGATTGCTGATTTGAAGTTACAGAAAGAATTGATTGTAACTGTTGAGGTTTAGCATTTTCTGTGTGAAGTGTCTCAAAAAGTTCATCATCTTGGTACTGACTTTCTTCATTCTCTACATTAAGAGCAGGAACATCAATACAAAGCATTAGGGTGTTATCCTGTGATGCTAACAGAGTATGTGAGGTACTTGCTTCATAGCAGAGTGCACACTCCTGACTTGAATCCAGCTTTTCATTATGGTCATCTTTCTCATCATTTTCTTCAGTCTTTTTTGACCCTGATAAATGTGTGTTCCATTCAAGACAATGGCTTTCATCTTCACCAATGCTAATCTCACTATTCAAGCCCTCTGTCAATGCTGTTAGGATTTCATGGCTCACATTCAGTTCACTGTTAACAGCTTTGTAAAAATGTTCTGTTGATTCTGTTTTTGCAATGGCTTTTTGAGATTTTCTTGATCTACTATTCACCCAGGGGAATGAAAGTGAAGAATCTAGATAAAGAACATAAAAATAAATGTCACCCCACTTAACAATAAATTACGAGACAGTGTTATCAAAACAACATTTATAATCACAACTGACATTAAATTACTTATCCTACTCTGGGTAGTGCCTAGACAAAACTCACATAAAATTTGGAAAAAGACACTGAAGTTGAACTGGAGTGCTAAAACACAGCATAACATTATGTAATGAAGAGGAAAACATTTCTTTCATTGAAAACCAGCTTTGAAAAATATTTAAAACAAATTCAATATTGCAGTGCCAAGTTCTACCTATTTACAGAGAAATAAGAATCCAGGCATCACCATGAACTATTTATTCACAGAAAAAGAAATTTGGATTGTCCTTCAAACAATTTAGATTCTATATTTACAGTACCCTCTAGCTATAAACTGAATGTTCATCACACTAAGAGATTGAATGACCTGATGCAGTGCTACTAACGGGTACGTAGCAGTCAAGCTGCTACTGATGCATTTTGGCATGCTCTTTTTGGTGTATTTTGAACATCATTGGTTTTCCATCTAGCAGACATTAACATTGTCCCTTTGTAGGTTCTTTTAGTTCTTAGTTATTTGCTGCTGACGTTGACACTTTGTAAAACAAACTTAAATTAAACCCATAGTACTGTATATCTTAACACCAGATTTTTATTCTCTCCCTACATCTTTGGCTTAAATGACATCAACAGTCAATATTCATCATCTTTTTGGTGAATACGAAACATCATTATGTTATTTGTGCACTATAATCTACTTATAGTTTATGGCTCATATAATACATGGTCTCACTGTCATAGTTATGGTATGCTCAGGGAGAGCAAATTTATTGAAATATAAAAAAACAATATTAAAAACAAATATCTCACCACTTAAAGATTCATCCCAGTTTTCTGAATCAGACAAGGCACTATCACTTTCAGATGAAACACTTGAGTAATCCTCAGTGTCAGCAAAATAGTTTTCATCGCTTGGCTGATGAATCATCAGCAGTTGATCATCTTCTAAATCCTCCTCATCTTCAGTACATGCTATGAGAAGGAACACTTCACATGAAAATTTATGACTGAGAAAAACTTCACCAATAATTCCCCAAAAAATACCAAAAGCTAACAATAAAGGTACTTCACCCATTTGCCTTACATAACAATTTTGAAATTTATAACCACAGGTCGCAAATATATGGAATAGAAAATGAAGGGAAGTCAGCTATATATATTCAACATCGAGGAACACATAATTTAAACTCTCAAAACAAGACAAGTGCAGATGACTTTAATTTCTTACTGTTAAAAATTGATACCAAAATTCTCAAACATGATTGGTTCAGCTTCCTGATTTCAGTGCAAGTAGGACAGTGTGTGTGTCTTACCTCCAATTGTACCAAGTAATTGTACAGTTAAATGCAGTATCTGTGTTCAAGGAAATCTTCTAAGTCATTTACTTTGAAGAACCAGGATCGGTGTTAAGTCACTCCAAACAGATTAAGCCTCTTAATAACTAGGTTTTATGATACTGATGCCAACTTCATACTTGCTTCGCCTTGGCTCTTTGATGTAATTACCTTTATTATGAGTGGTAAATGGGTTCTGCCTCCAGATACAGACACTGCACTTTTGTATAAGTTCACACAACTCCCACACTGCATCTGAGCCTGGTTGTGAGGCACCTGAATCTCAAAATGAAACATGAGCATCAGTGCAGACTGCCTTTCAAATATGAGATTAAAACTAAAAAAAATTAACATTAATTCAAGTTTAACTTAGCATAAATGTAACCACTCTAAGATGATATATCTTTCTGTTTTACAATCCTAGCAAGTAAAATTGTCACGATTCAACTTTATTCTTTGCCTTAATTAATTTTTACCATCTCTGTCTGATATCATTTATCATAAATGGGCGACAAAAAAACAAGGTAGCGGTAATAATCACATTACATCTGACCTCAGCAGATACTATTCATTATGATTGTAAAAAAGGTGTTCAACTGATTATGTCCCTCTTCCATTTCTCTTCACCCCTTACTTAGTTGAAGTTCACTATGTAGCACTCAAACTGGAGCATATAAAAAGTCAACAAGAAGCTGACTGCTACTTTTTCTAAGTTTGTCGTCTGGTGTAACTAACCAACTGGTAACTAGGAATCTGGTTTCTAATACAAAAAAGTAAACAAAGAGTATTAAAAGTTGGAGTATCACCTCTACTGTATTGACATCTAGTAGCTCCACTTCCAAATGCTCCACATCCATTGCTTCCACATCCACTTACTCCAGTTCCACCAGTCCCATCCCCACTGGCTCCACTTCCCCTGGGCCCTTCTCCACTGCTTCCTCCTCCATAGGCACCACCTCCACTGGCCCCACCTCCACTGGGTCCACCATCACTACTTCCATCTCCCCTTTTTCCACTACCACAAGTTCCAGGCTTTCCACCAAAATTACTTTGCATGTACAGTAGCAACTGAGTGAGTAATATCCTTTGTAAATTTGGGTCAGATGTAATTCTCTGGATAGTCTGCCAAATCCCTCCCTTCTCCACTTCACAGTACTCTATAAAGGTCTCTGCCAGAATTTTGCCAGTGGTTGTTGAAATGAGCAAGACTGGAATAACAGCAGGTGTCATTTCAGGTGAAGCTAAGGATAAATGGTAAAAACAACATTGAAATACCTCCACAAAACATTGATATTTGTCCTGATAATAAATATATCTTATTAACCAAGCGCGAGGGCCGTACTGGGAGAATATCGGCCCGAGGTCTTGACAGTACGGACCAAGCACAGCAAGGTCGTACAATAAAGACCGAGGGCCGATATTCTTCCAGTACGGTCCCGAGCAAGCTTGGTTAATAACAGATTTATTATACGACTGAAGTTCAAAGGGACACAAATGTGGTATCATTCGGGACCATGCCGGGTCCAATACTAGAGAATATTGGACCGGCAATAGAGCATTTTGATTGGTTGATTTTAGTTATTGGCCCTCTGACTGCCCGAGTCGTGTAATAAAGTATGTAATTATATTATTACCATTGAAGAGAAATTACCATAACTGGTAAGTTTAGAGGACAGCCATTCACTATCTCCTTTTTTTTTTCCAGTAGGAAGATTTAATCCAGGCTGCAGCTAATATGATAATTTAAGGAACAAAAAAGGTTGGATGATGAGCAATATCTAACAGCAAATGAGTACCTTTTTACTTTCTGCTCTTGCTTCCTGTCCTCAGATAGATCTCGCTTACCACCCTCTCCCACCCTCTGTTCTCGTGTACTCCCCCCCTGTCCCCCTGTCCCCCTGTAGCATACAATTGTATGCTATTTTTTAACTTCAGTTACCACCAGCTACAGGAGAAAGTTTATAATTTTAAGAAGCAGCTAATTTCACCAACACAACAGTGCTTTAAGTACACAATTAATGCTCTTAGAGTGATTACAGATAAGTGTAAACATGCAGGAGTAATTTGTTTGGATAGGTGGGCTGAGATGGGACTCACTGAGTAACTGATACTTAATTACAAGTTTGTAAGGAAAAAGAGCATATTGCCTTTCAAAGCTTCTAACAAAAACACAGTTCGATAGATAGTAAAAACCTTCCAATTTATATGGAATAAACTCAGACACAAGTCCTTTGCAGTATGTTCTCACTTTTGTTTGTACCAATTTAACCAGAAATATACTGCATTGGTGCCATGCCCACTGTAGTTTCCTCCACAGTCACTGTTTAGTCTTAATATCATGCAACTTGCTCTCTCCCCCATCCCTAAGGCATGACGAGATCAAATAACAGATACAAACTTTGTTGGTGAGGGAGTGATACACAAACCACACTTTACTTTTTAATGGTAAAAAATTCCCTGCTGACATTTGTAACCCTGACAGATCATAGCCACGATGTCCACACAATGGAAATGAATTATTTCACTGGAGAGATTGGCTCACAATTCCTTGTTGATATTGTTCTTAGCGTGCTTCAATGTTGGGTTGATTCCATTGCGACACCCAAATTCCATGACATGTTTGACACAAGGGACAGTACCCTGATACTCTGATTGGTTCAAACATGCCGCAATGCAGTAATTGGATTGGTGTGAGATACATAACCTAATGGGGCAACCCAATTGGTGTGAGGTACATTCCCAAGGGCAGTGATCTGATTAGTGTGAGCAACATACAACTCTACATGCTAATATATTGTTATTTTTTTTATAAAAAAACAATACAAAAACAATAAAAAGTAATAAAACAAAGATAGCTGAAAATAAATCAATTAATATCTAATGTCAATGTTGCCTATATTGAATTTTCATTATAGGAAACAGTTTATTTCAAAACATTTCTCTAGTTGGTGCACCATGCAATTAATAACTATTACAAACCTGGAATTTTACAAATGTAGCCAAGACTTGTCTTTTCCAGTATATTTGGTTCTAAATTACCAAAGGTAGCTTTCACGTTAACACCTGATGGTAGCTCAGGTTTGAAGGTGAAAATGCAGGGGCCTCCTCCCTGTAGATTTTGGGGGAAAATTCAGTGTCAACAAATTTTTACTCCCACCTTATTCAAAGCTGAACTTTAACACATGAAAGACCAACAACAAATTAACTGCTGAAATTGAAATGCAATCTTTAATTTATCCTTTATCTTGAGCTCTGATAACATACACCTAAAAGAAATGCACTAGGAAATATTAAAAAAGAGTTCACAAACTATGTGTACTTAAAAAAAAAAAGATAGAGCTGAAAGCATTGAAGGTAAGATTTAATACAGAAACACAAGAGGTAATTAAGGCTAGCAGTAATTTGCCAAACAAATCAAAACAAAACTGAAATCTGTAATTTGCAAAGTAGAAATCTGTCAATGATTTGCCAAATAGAAATCTGTAATTTGCAAGATAGAAATCTGTTCATGATTTGCGAAATAGGAATCTGGAATGATTTGCAGAATAGAAATCTGTGATTTACAAGATAAAAATCTGTTCTCTGTGAAAAAGAAATCTGTTAATGATTATTGAAATAAATGTGTTTATGATTTGCAAAATAGAATTTTCCTAATGATTTGCAAAATAGAAATTGGTGAATAATTTGGGAAAAAGATAGCTGTAATTTGTGAGATAGAAATCTCTTAATGATTAGCAAAATAGAAATCTGTTAATGATTTGCAAAATAGAAATCTTTTCGATAATTTGTAAAATGAAAAACTGTTAATGATTTGGAAAAGAGAAATCTGTAACTTTTGAGATAGAAATCAATTAATTTTTCTACTTAACAAATTACAGATTTTCATGTTGTTTTTTGTTTCATTTTGCAAATTACAATCAGCCGTGACTACCACAAGAGATGATGATGATCTTCCTTTATTGTTAGTGTTTCAATACAGTGCATGTTTCTACAATTATTTTCAATTTGGAGATCAACGATAAGATACAAATGAAGAGGGGCACCATTCTATTGGCATAAGGTATTTTTTACCTGCAAAGGACTCTCTGTAGGATTAATGGAAACCTCATAATCATATTGCTTCAGCCACTCTTCGATGCTTCCAACATTCATTGAATCTAGAGCTAGAAAGTAAATATCAGTTTTTTTTCCCAGTTCATGAGCCTGCAGGTGCTATTCTAGAAATGCCATCACAAGCAAGGTAGGCAATAGCCATACTAACTATCTCTGAGTGCAATTGAGTATTCCCATTTCGAAATTGTTGTCTATGAGGCGTGACATACATATGCTTAATTTAACTTTCAAATGCTTAAAGGGATCCCCTCCAATGTTTTTTAAAGATTATTTTAAGGTTTTTAGAACTATCCACAACACGAGGGGAGGTGGGTCAAGAACTTAATCCTTCCCAAGGTGAGAACTGAGACTGCAAGGGAATCTTTTTACTTTAATGGATCGAAACTTTTTGATGATGTTTCTAATGGACTGAAGGATCTTAACTCGGTCATGATTTTTAAAACTCGTATTTTAAAATTCTATAAATCAAAAGCTTTTAATTACTCTTACAGTTGGTGACCGTATTTAGGTTTTTTTTGCAGCATAACCATGGTTGCAGGGCCCTTACTGATATCAGCATATTATGCTAAAGAGGTCACCCTGGTTAAATAACATTTAATACTATTATTATTACTATATTACTGAAGCAATAAATAAGTGTTTGCAATCATTTCAGCACATGACTTACCAACACATTGCCGATAGGTCACCAACAGGCTACCAACAGACAGCTGACTGTTGGCCATCTGTTGGCCAACACTTTAGTCTGCGACATAACAAAAACTGCCTGCCAATTGTTGGCTGTCTGTCGGCCAACTGTCGGCTGACCAACAGTTGGCTGATGATCGGCCGACAGTCGATCGACCGACCGAAAAGTGGATGTTGATGGAAGGACTGAATAGGCGTGAGAATCATATTTGCTATGCAACATTAGTTCACACTGACTTACCTGGAGAATTTGCCCCACCCTGTGGGGAAATCAATCCACTGTGAATTTCATCCTCAAAAGAAGCTAACAGTTCAACGATCTGTATTCAGAAAAATTAAAGGGTACATTGGACATGCATGGTTTCTCCGACACAAAAGATTTTTTAAATGTTCTTTACCTACTTTTAAAGAAAGCGACAAAAAATTTTTAAGTCTGTAAAACGTTTTGACAGAGACTTCTGTCATCTTCAGTTAGTTACTGTACAAAGCATCGGAAATTGAATTAAATAGTAAGTAGTAAGTAGAACAATGCTAATTACGATAAATAGTGACAACAAGAAAGGAGGTTAAGCATGAAAGTGCAAGAATTAAAAGGATAGTTTAGATTTGCATGGTGTAATTGTTGCAGGGATGGTTGTTCTATCTGAACGTGAATAGCCTCTTTTATCTAAAGGTGACAGCTGCATGGTAGAGGCATGATCTACAATAGGGAAGTTATCTGCTGAACATTATAAGTGCGACAATGTGGAGAATCTTTCAGATGTCTGAACATGTGAGAGGCCCTATCTTTGACTAAGTGGTCTCTGACACGTGTGGAAAAATGGTGGCAGGTTTCACTGACATAACAGGCATCACAGCCAGCACATAAAACACGTGAATGGAGCCCATCAGGGACAGGCTCTTTTGCACCAAACAAGTTACTAAGACTACTTACCTAATCTTTTTTATCCAACAATCATTTTGCATTATGACCAAATCTACCTAGCTCACCAGTAATGGTAGTAACAGGGCCCCACAATACATACCATATTTATTCAGCTATAAGACGCACTCAGTTATAAGATGCACTCCAAACTTGGCAACTTAGTCAAGCCAAGTTCCCAAATGGAAAGTTTTGTAATAATAGTCAGTTATAAGATGTACCAAGAGGTTGAGAGTTAACAAAAGTTGTGATGGATCTGAAAAAGTTTCACAGTTGCTTTGGTGGTGAAAGCAAATGGCAGAAAACTCCTAGTTCAACAGCTGAATATCAACAAGCCACAGAGAATGTAAGTTTCAGTGCACAAAAAAGGCTGGATAGATGAAAAGGGTAAGTGTTATCTCCACATTGTTTATTCAGAGAAGGAACTCTTCGAGCGAGCGACACCAACATGATTAAAGGAATTTGAAACGTCATTCGAACGATTGTTTTGTAGTCATGGATATCATGTTACCGAGCATGTACTGTTGAGAATGTATGCAAATTTCCCTTTGTTTGCTTTCACAGTGAATGTTTGCTTTTGTTGTTGATCTTTTGAAGTTGATCAGTATTCTAAAAGAAGTATTCCTTTTTAATTCATAGGAATAAAGGATGGGATTATACAGTGACACGCAATCTTCACTACATCTCAGACCAAAAAGCCCTGCTAATGTGGGATTAGTTTCGTGGTCATTTGACGGAGGCCGTATAAGAAATGGTTCTTTCAGAACTACCACACTGGCTCTTTTCAGAGCCACCCTAGTTCTTTTTAGAACCACCAGATCTAAAAACATTAATGACCAACAATTAGTGTTCTTCTCACATTTTTGTAACTGTGAGTTCTACTAAAATTGTGATCTTAAGATTTTGTTGCAAGAACATACTTGGTTATAAGACACCCCAAATTTTGAGCAGATTTTGATCAAACACATGCATATTTTCTCGTAAAAAATGGTGAACCTAAGTAAATAAATACAGACCTTTGTAGCATTTGTGACCTTTCACAGACAGATGTCATTCAAGGTGCTGTCAAAACATGCATTACGCACATGCACTCTACTACATGTTTATCCTCAAAACCTATCAACAAATTCTTATCTTTTTTATTGGCAGAAAATCCCAAATTCAAACCACATCTTCATTTTCCCATTTTGAACATTCTGGACTGGGCATGTATGACTATTTCCTAAAAATTCTTCCACTCTCAGTAATTCAAATAAATTATTTCATCTTTGGCATGAACTTATAGTTTTTCCAAAGCCCTAAAGCTATTTATTACGACATTACTATTTTAATGATGTTTTTGTGACCACAAAACAACTGTGTGTCAATTAATTAATGCATACTTCTGAAGAGTTTTCATTAAGAATTGTGTCAGCCAGGGAATCAAGCAAAATAACAGGAGAATGTTACATTCATATAAAGAGAAATTAGCAACAGCCATCAAAGTTATGTATACCTTTTCATGATTCAAATTCCATTTCACTGTTAGTCAGTCATGTGTGAAGGTCAAATTAAAATTCTATCTTTGAATTCAAAAGTTGTATGTTGTTGGCGAGTTCAAATTGAAATTTGAGCTTTGAATTAAGAAGTTGTAGAGTCATTGGCATATCAAGTTCAAATAAAAACTTGACCTTTGAATTCAAAAGTTTTATGTTGTCAGCGAATCATTTAGAAGGCTAAAGCAAAGAAACGAACTTTGAGTGAGGAATTTAATGTTCCAGTGAAGACTTGAATTTTGATTGAAGAGTAAAACTTGAACATTGAAAATAAAAATTGAATGTTGCAATTAAAAGTTGAAAATTGAAAATAAAACTTGAATGCTAAAAAAAATAAAACTTTTGCAGGGATTTAACACCACAGCTGAATAAATTGAACTATAGGTGGTTTGCACGTTACATCATTGCCACCATGTTGTTGGACGTAAACAATAGATATCTCATTAGCTCCTTCTGTTTGTCCACCAGCATTTGTTCCTTTCACCATTGTTACCTGTGTCTCTAGAGATTGGCTGCAAACCACCTATAATTCCTCTTTGGTGTAAATGATTACCTTATCATCAGAAGCTCCTACTGTTACAGGTGTATGTTGCTGATTGTCTTTAGCCACAGCTGATACACTGGCTTCTTTTGCAGAAACTTGAGTTTTTAAATAGCTAGGCTGCCCTAGGAGTTGACCACTCAGATTCCCTTTTGCTGGGAATGTCTCTGTGTGAACCTGTTCATGTGAATTCTGGAACTCTTTATCTTTACCAGAAATATCTAAACTCTTCAATTGAGATAAAACGGTGGAAGAAATCATCTGCTTCCCCTCCATTAAATCACCTACATACACACACAAAGAAAAAAGAATCAATATTAAGTTATACGTTACAAAATATAATTTTTTCCTACAAGTGCTGAATTTTCTTGACTAATGCATTTTGTTAATTTTTCAATCATTTAGTTCCTGGTCTAAATGTTCTTCTTAAAAGCTGTAAATGCACTTCATATGCATTCATGTGTTTCTCAAAACTCAAAGAGATTATCTATATTTACTACTGTTTTCAACAGTGTTTCCCTGTTTATACCTGACATACTTTTCAGTTTTATGGTCATTATCAACTACACTTATAAGATGATAAGACAACTGATATTTTTATGGGGTGAATAAGCAAGAAGCATAATGAGTGAGAGTTGGCAGACATTGAAATATTGTACTAGTAAAATTACACAATTTATCAACCTTTTGGAAGGGTTGGCTGCAGTGCTAGTGGCAATGTTATTGGAACCATTTTTGTTAAATCACTGGTGTTAGAACACACTGGTGGAAGTGTAATATGTGCTCCTGACTCTTCTGGGTCTGTGGAGAACTGGTCGGAGACTTGTATTTGCTCTTCCTAGAAAAAAAATTGAAAATTCATATCCTAGATACTAGAATACACCTCCTTCTTGCTTAATCTTCTTTAATGAATTAAGGTAAAGTCTGTTTACAAGCCAAGTGGCCCATCAGGCCAATGCTTAACTCCAGTTTCTGTAGGATGAAGTGACTAGGAATATTTCTACTCCCCCCCGGATGAGTCCATCGCAGGGTTACCCCCCAGCATTAAATTTGCCAGTACCTAAACAACTAGGTGAAGAGAGGCACTGTGAGAGTAAAGTGTCTTGCCCAAGAACACAACACAATGTTCCCAGCCAGGGCTCAAACCGGGCCACTCGATCTGGAGTCCAGCCCACCAACCAAAAGGTCACCAAACCTCACAACGAATAATGAACTCTGAGATCTAAAACTTGTTAATACAAAAGTCAATTTTTTCTCTCAAGCATCTCATTGGTCCCAAATGCTAAATCCTCAAACCTGATTGGCTAATTCCACCTGCTCCATTAATACAGACCTCCTGGCTGGTGAATAACATATATCATGATTTGTTGTTGTAATAATTTTATTAGCTACTCCTATCAATGATGAACAAGTGTTCTCCAAAAGTATTTTGTATTTGACTCTTATTTGATTTGCATGGAAATCAAATTTATCTCAAAACCTTTTCTTGTTGTTTATGGCACACAATTCAAATGAGTATCAGGAATGGTTTCAGAAAAAAAAAGGGAATCATAAGACTCATGTTTTTAAATAAAGTTAGTGTGATATATTATAACTAACTCAAACAAGGACAACCTTTTTGGTGAAAAAAAAACATGGATAATACCTTATTTTGCTCTTCACTCCAAGCAATATTTAACTAAGAGATTTTTTTCTCATTTCACAATAACCCTAATTCTTGGGTAAACTGGAGACTTAAAACCAAGTCCAAGTCAAAGTACAAAAGATATACTTCAGGCAGTATCTACATTAATTTACTACACTCTCTTCACACATACCTCAGTATCTGAAGTTGATAACATTATCCATTGGTGCTGTTGCCTTTCCACAGTCACAGCACATACACTGGCTTCTTTTTCAGTGACTTGTGTTGTTGAGCAGGTTCTTACACCCTGCGCCTGTTTTGAGTATGGAGTTGAATTTATCTTGACACCATCCAGCTGACCACCAAACGTATAATTTCTGTTATTGTTTGTCACTGTATCCCACTTCTGACTTTCTACTTCCACAAATGTCTCACGAAGACCCTCAGTAGCAGAAGAAGGTTCTCCCCGGAACCTTTTATGCCCCTGGGATGCTTCAATAACGAGGCAATTTCCAGATGAATTAGCACCTGACAGGTCAGAGTCTGAGGAGTAATGGCCAGAATCTCCCACTTTCTCTTCCTAATTAAAATAAAAAATGGATTCAACCTTTAAATGTTAAGGAATTAATCTTTAAAGAGTATTATAGCTACACCTAACATTTATAAGGGAAACAACTATTAAATGCAGATCCAGTATAAAATAATTATGTCAGTATGCTCATCACAATTAAGCAAAACTTTATCATTACAAACCTCACAAT